ACCATAAAGGAAACAATTTGATTTCTTAATTTTGGGTTGGAAAAGTGGGGGTCGTCTTATTGTCGGAAAAATACGGTAGTTTTCTCAGAGGGTCTTTTGCCACCAAAACACATCTGGCTTTCCTTTCTGTCTCTCAACAGGTGCCAAGTTTTTGGGAAGAGTTGGGCAGTATTTCCAGTGCCCGGATTGTGGGAAAAGGTTTCGGGGAGAGGAAGAACTTAGAGCTCACGGCGGCATTCACAAGAAAGATAGACCTCATGCCTGTGCCCAGTGTGGGAAAAGGTTCACCCGCCCATCAGGCCTAGCCAAGCACTTGAAAACGCATTCAGGGGAGAAGCCCTATCACTGTGGTCAGTGCCCCAAGAGTTTCATTCAGATGTCACACCTCACTAGGCATCAGAGAATCCACACTGGAGAGAAGCCCCACCCCTGTGTCGAATGTGGCAAGCGCTTCAATTGTCCATCAGATCTAGCCAAGCACCAGCATATCCACACCGGAGAGAAACCCTTCCGCTGTGCTGAGTGTGGAGCAAGGTTTAACCAGTTCTCGCACCTCACAAGGCATCAGAGGATTCACACCGGTGAGAAACCTCACGCCTGCACTGAGTGTGGGGAAACCTTTAGCCAGCGGGCCCATCTGATCAGCCACCAGAGAATCCACACTGGAGAAAGACCTTATCACTGCACTTCTTGCCAGAAATCTTTCAGTCATCTCTCAGCACTCACAGTGCACAAGAGGATCCACGTGGGCCAACGGCCCTATGGCTGCCCCGAATGTGGGAAAAGGTTCATTGCTTCCTCTGCTTTAACCAGGCATCAGAGGACCCACTCAGAAGAAAGGCCCCACCCCTGTGACGAGTGTGGCAGGAAATTTAACCAGCTCGCTCACCTTCACAGACACCGGCAGACGCACTTGGGTGAGAGACCTCACAGCTGCACTGAGTGTGGGAAAAGGTTCAACCAGCTCTCCTCTCTCACCAGGCACCAGAAAATCCACACAGGAGAGAAACCTTATCCTTGTGATGAGTGCAATAGGAGGTTCATTCGGCTGGCCGACCTCAACATCCATCAAAGAATCCATACAGGGGAAAAGCCGTATCGCTGCATCGCATGTGGGAGGAGATTCCGGCAGAGACAGACACTGGTCAAGCATCAAAGGCTTCACCCAATAGCAAATTTGTAACAGCAGTACCCACAGCAAAGGAAAAGCCTTCCTGCCATTGGATTTATATATAGGAAATGAATATTTGCAGTCTTTGAAATTCAGAAAGGGTGAAGGAAAAGATCTAATTCCAAAGATTTAACTCCAGTACCCTCATTTATCTTATCACACTGTTTTTCCTATCCACTGCCCCTACTGCTATCAACAAAAAATTTTTTTCCAGTTGTTTCCAGTCTTTTTAACCTAGAGAGAACCTTCCAGTAAAATACAGTTTTCCAGACCCATTAAGGCCACACACTTATCCCATTCTCTTTCTTTTCCATCCACTTTATATCACAAAAGGCCAATGGTGATTATTCATTATTCTTGATCAAGAGCCATTAGATGGAGATGGAAGCTATTGGGGTCGCTTTCTATCCAGTGACATGAAAACCTTTTTATCACATCAAAGATAAGTTGTGACATGATGATGATAATGATACTTTACTGGTGGGAAGTTTGGGCTCTTCCTTCAAGAATCTATAGAAGAAGTAGGTAAATAAGGGTGAAAGAGGCTGGGTTTCCTGAGCTGTTTTCTGTAGTGCTTCTTTGTTATTACATTGGGTCTTCCTGTTTGTGAATCCTATTTTGTCCCCTGATCTTGTGCATGAAATGCTATGTCAATTCAATTGTTGTTAGAGTACAGTATGTTGATCTCAAGCAAATCAAGGTGGAACTTGTATGATTCTATGTAGTCACCTGATGATATGAAACAGCCTTATGAGTTGGCAGTTTAATGAAGTGAGTCAATCATTATCCCCATATTTCCAAAATAGGGACTGAAGGAGGACGATTGATACATCCAAGGTCAGAATTCTGTGATGGAATAGAAAACTGAAATGATGATGATGATGATGATGATGATGATGATGATGATGATGATGATGTGCTGGTTCACGTTAGCTTTTCTTTCCTCATCATTTCCTTAACTCCTTTAGCAGAAGTAAAAAGTAGAAGGAAGAACCTCCAGAACACTCCAGTGTTCACTGGTTTTGACTTCCAGACTTATTATGTGGGACACTTTTATTCTCATTCCCCAGATGACAAACTGTGACCAAGAAAAATGGTTCGCTCCAGTCCACTCCAGTAAGACACAGCAAAGGAAGAATATGAACTCAGGTTAGTCTTGCCTTCTCATTTACATTATCCCAGCCAGCTTGATGGCTTTCTTGGCATATTTTCCAATGACAGCCTTTATTCCTAAAGACAGGATCATAGAACTTTTGCACAGTAAATGGTCAGGGACTAATCAGTAACTTCTGTCTGCCTGTTTGAAGGAGAAAAGGATCTACCTCCTGCTATGCCTCCCACCTAAATACATTCAATTCCTACTGATCTTGGATTAAACTTTTATGAAACTTTTATGAGTCTAATTTAGAATTCAAATGGGGGTACTTCAGATTTATCAAGTGTGTGCTCTTCAATGAATTACAGTAGGTTTTGATCTCTCTTAGCCAATAGCCTGCTGTTGTGTGTGCCTCCAAGGCTGGATAGAACTTGTTTTAAGTTGATAGAGAAATGGAGGATGGTGCTTGAAAACCATATATCTCTCTGTTTCCTCATCTTTGTTACCACCTGAGTCTTGAGAATGCTTGAAAAATTGCCCATGGGTAACACCAGGAATTCTAAGCTTTCTATTTCCCAGCTGTTTCTAAAACCTCAGGGTGAAACATGAAACTCTTTTGAGAGTTGTAAGGTCTGTTGCTTGTGAAAAGAAATAGTGACTAGTAAAAGGAACTTTCTAGGAACTTTCCCTTGGATGTGTAGAGACTCCTGATGTAGAGGTCTATTTTTTTTTTCTTTTGGTTGATGTTGTTCTATCTATTGTTCTATCTTTGAGGATTCCTTCTATTCTTTGGAGAGCAATGTAATGGCTACTGAGATGCTTCTCCTCAGCATCTTCTATAATCTGGTTTCCAGATTAGATTACAGATTTTTCCCAATATATTTGAGCAGCAATCCAGTTAGAAATTTATTAGTGGCGTTTGAGAGGATAGTTTTGATTTCTGGAACTGAGAATAGTACTTCAGCCTGAAATGCTTCCTAGCCAATTTGCATGCAAGGCCAAGGTATGCTTGAAGGTATCTATAATAATAAATAGCTGGAAAAGGCAAGACAGAAGTTGAAAGTGGAAAGGGAAACAGAGACAAACTTGAAATATTGGATGAGATAAAATAAATGCTATGATTTATTAAAGTACTTGCCTGATAAAGTTAATTGCTTGCTGTAGATTTTCTTGATCTTCATTTACATATAGAAAAGTGAATGCCATTATCTAACCACACATTGCAGGAAACATTTCTGAGACTTCTCATGGACATATCTGTGCTTCCTCCTTACTGTGCCAGCACAAAAAAGCCAACCTGAAGGCTGGATTATATTCTCTGAACTCTTCACCCTTCTCTTTTTGAGAATCTCATCAACTTTATCGAAGGACTTCAGTATTCCTATTTCTTTTGACCCATTCACTCTTCTCTGTATTTGTTTTGTGATAGGATCCTCATCCATTCTCTGTGCAACCAAACCATTCACTTTTGCATCCAATCTCCCTTCTTGCTTCATTCATTCTTAACCATGTCTCTTCTTGTATTATCATGCATAATGTGGGATATTCTATAAACCACCCCCTCCTACAGTTTTAAATATGCCAGGCAAGGGGATGGGGAAGGAGCCGAAAGCCGTGGTTCTGTGCTGGTTGGCTTGTTGAACTCACTGAGATTTTCTCCTTAGGAAATCCAAACAGGCTTTGTTGATAAATGACTTTGCCTTTAAGCCCTCTTCTTTTGGGGAGGTGGTTGTAACTCTGTGTTACCACCTGGTGGCAGTACAGAACTGGTCTGTAGTTTCCAACCTGTGTCCTTTCAGTTTGTTTGTTTGTTTTCTCTTCTGATCTATTTGACAGTTGCAGAAGCTGTCAGTTGCTCAGATGGTACAACAGTTGGGTGTTGAAGCATACCACATGTTTCCATTTTAGCAGGGCTGATTTTGTTTCAAACCCCTTAAGACTGGTAACAACTTAGTAACTTCAGAGCTGGGTTACATTGAGCAAGCTGCTGTCTGTCTGTCTGTCTGCCTGTCTGTCATTCAAAGGATAAAATGGGAAGAGAAGCCCTGTATGCTAGTCCATGTTCCTTGAAAGAAGGATGATATTAGAATTGGTACTTATTAAAAAGAACTTTAGCTCTTAAATATTTTTACATAAAGTATAGCTAAACTGGTCTAGCTTTATATTCATTCACAGATTCCCACAAAAGCTAAGTCATTGGTATGGAAAAACGTTGAGAGCATTTTCAGTGCGTGTTCCGGCATCTGTGCAACTCAGCCCTGTTCTGACTGTAACACTATTTTTAACATTAACACTAGTAATACTTTACGTACCGAGTTTTTGAAAAAGCTAAACATGCCCATTTATCACTGAGTCTCACAACAGTCCTGTAAGGTTGTGTGCTATTATTAGCCCAAATAGTGCAGATGGAAGGCTGCTACCGAATGCTACTGAAATGCTGAAGTGAAATTTAAATTGAAAATTACCATATTATCTAAACGAGCAATAGAAGAGACAAAGCATAGGAGGATCAACTCAGCCAGTTAGTGTGAATACAGTGGCGGTTACTCCAGAATACAAAAATGCAGCTTTCACTGTGCATTATTTGAAACGATGGACTTATCTCTGTCAGTGTGTAAAGCTAAACCTTCTGTTCAAAAAGGCAGATGGGTGTTGATCCCCTTATTATTGTGCCAAGGTAATGACCAGCACAAAGCATACTTGCCAAAGTAACAGAGCCCACAACCGCAGCTGTTGCCTGGCACTTCATTAACTAGGAATATACCACCCACCAACTGGATAAATTCAGGGCCAGAAGCTACATAGCTAAGGAGGAGAACTGTCACGGAATGGAACAATGGGCATCACAAAGGGCCAGAATCTCTGCCAGCTCTAGATCAAGGAGCGGAAGCCTTGTGACCAATCGATGCCTCAACAACAGAACAAACTTAGTTCAGAGGAGCAAATGCACGTATTTACAGAGGTATTTTCCAGGGCTGAAGGCCTTTTGAGATGATGAGCAGGTCTGGACCATCTCTTCTGGGAGAAGACATGGAACCAACCGAAAAACAAGGAAGGGTTGAGGCAGTATTCGTAAGTATGACTGGAGGAAAGTTGTCATCCTCCAAATGAATTGGGCATGACAATTCGGGCATGGCTTATAGAATCAGCCAACCACTGGAAAGCATTAAAACAAACATATAGAATTGGAAATGCGCATGATCCAGATTTTTTTTTTTTTAATTTAACCCAGGATCATTTTGTAATCTACCATTCTTACTAAAAAAAACAAACAAACCCTCAACATGATACATGGCCTCTATTTTGACATATTATTCAATCCAGGGATGGCAGATACACTTTTGGCAGGGGTTAACTACAAAACCATGAAACAGGCACTAAAGCTTTTCTTCCTACAAAATCCTACCTCCCCACAAATGGTTGCTACCAGCTGTGGGAGGAAAAACAGGAAAAAGGGGAGATGTTTGCTCCGTCTTTCCTTGGTGCTCTTTTGATCGAGGAGAGCTGCTGAGTCTGCCAAGGAGGCCCTGGTTTGGCTTCCTATTGAATCTAGCCTATTGTGGAGGTAGGCTGGGCAGCACATACACCTAATCATTGGTGCGCAGGGAAAAATTGATCACCTTTTCCTCACCTATCCCCAGGTTTCATTGCACTGCTTGGGGACCTCTTGAAACCTAACCTCTGCATACCACCAGACCAGCTCTTCTCTGCACTTTCTCTTTGCTTCCCAAGAGCATTAAGCCATGCTAGTGAGTGACTTTCCATGGAAACCCAGGCTCAGGGTACAACAAACAGTGCCGTGCCCACCTGCTTAGTTAAGCCCTCCCGTTCTTCCCCAGAGGCAGCCTTCAGGGTCATACATCCATAAGCTTCATTGGAAGTGAGCTATCCACCTGCAATGTGAAGGCTGCCAAGGAATATGGAAAGGTCAGAACGCATCTGTCTCCCATCTGAGTACGAGATGGCATGCCAAAGGCAAGGGGTCATGACGCCTGTGCAAATGATAGCTGTCTGTAAAAACAGGTGGCCTCAGGAAACAGATTTGCAGAAAAGGAACATCAGCAAATGGTCTAATAAGCAGCTATTCAGTTCTTAAGGTTTTTTAAAATGTATTCAAGATCATTTAATAAGTGAGTAATAAAGAACAGGTTTTCCCACATTGCTCCAATGAAGGATTCTGGGAGCTGTAGTTCAACATCTGGAGGGCCAAGTGCTGTTCACCCTTGCTCTAGATTAATACACAGAAAAACAACAACAACCCTGTGTGCACAACGTTAGCAGAAAATGTTCTGAAACATTTATACCTGCAGGATCATCATAATCATTATCACCAGCATGCAACAGACTCCCTCCCAGCCATTCTGTGTGCATGTGTGTTTACTGATTAAAAAAATAGAATAAGAAAATCAGGAGTCTCTAAATCTCTTTAAAAGCAAATAGCAAGGAGCCAAAAATCTATGGTAAAGGCGCTACAGTATTCGTTTTGTTTCTAATACAAAGCTTCTGATAGATGAGATACAGAAAATATAACGGTGCAATTTTTTCAATCCAATGCTTTTCACAATAGTACCAATTAGAAGGTTGCAATAGTTGTGTGTGTGTGTGTGTGTGTGTGTAGGGGGAGAGTACAGGTAATCCTCACTTAACGACCATTCATTTAGCAACCATTCAAAGTTACAACAGTGCTAAAAAGTGACTTACAACCAGTACAGAAATTTACGACTGTCACAGCGCCCCCACGGTCACATTATCACAATCCAGTCACTTGGCAACCAGCTCACACTTATAACGGTTGCAGCATCCCAGGGTCATGTGATCACCATTTGCAACCTTCCCAGCCGGCTTCT